AAGGTCGCAGTGGGAAGTTAGTAGCTTCTTGCAGTTTGGAATGAAATTCTTCAATTGTCAAAGTAGAATTCTGTTGAGAAAAAACAATTCTGTCTTGGTGACAAAATAATGGAAACACTTAGCAAGAGAAACAGTAACTGAAGAACCCTGAAATTGCTTAACAACTTGATATTGGTGAGAGAATTAAGAAAAGCATGCTGCATATTAAATGATTACCTCATTAAAATACACAAAGGAAAGCACAAGCATCTCAGACATTCAGCGCCTGTTGCTTAGAGTACAGTTTAAGCTCTCAAGTGTAAAGCATGCAAAGGCTTTTACATTTCAAAAATCAGCTAAAGCTGCTTTTATAGCATTTTTATTTCACATTTTTCTACTGTTTTCTTTTGAAAAAGGACTGTTTACTATGCTCTAGGCCATGTAAGAAAGTCATTACTTTAGAGATGAAGTCATAATCATGAACTCCACAAGTTGGCAGGGCTGACCAAGGGAATAGCATATGTGGATTTTCCCAAGGAAAAAAATCCTCATCTACTCCTAAGACCTCAAATGAAGTTAGAAATCAACTGTAAATAACAGTGGGAAAGCAGTTTTTATCTGAAAATCAGTGGAATGTGGGTGTTCCCAAAGCCACCTTCAGCTTGTTGACTAGTTCCCCCTTCCAAAGAAAACCATGTGACACGCAAAACCCCATTAAACACTTACTTTTAATATGGAAACAAATGGAGAGCAAGAGTTACTAATGTTATACTGCCTACATTAAACTTCCCTTTGACACTGACCCAAGTGAGGGGGCATCCACTGCTAAGATTGTGAAGTCACCCCTCAGCCATAGTGCTAAACAGTGCTGTCAGTCTTTGCTCCAAATGAAATCAATGGCAACTGCAGCTGCTCAGAACAGATGTAAATCAGAGCACCACAATAGCATCTTCCCCAGTACATCCAATTATTGCTGAAGGAAATACGTGGGAGACAACAATGTCTGGCAGAGAGAGGACTTTACTGGGAGTAAAAAGAACCCTGGGCCAGATTTCACAGTATGCATGTAAAAGGGCAGCCCAAGCTGACAGACATAGGTAAGAAAGAGCTGAAATTTTCATTAAGCCGTACCATCAAATAGAGATAACCTTATCAATAAAGCGACTTAAGTAGCAGCAGTGCCTTGTTGGGTTCACAATTGTTTGGTTCAATAACACTGAGAAAAGGTTTTGCACTGCATAACTGCAGTCCAAACAGACTCAGCTCATCCTTTTAACCATTGACACTATATATGCAAGGCTCTCTCCCCATCCAACTAAACTAGGCAAGTCAAACCATATTTTACTACATTACAGGATTCAAAGTATGTCTACCTTAGGGGTACTGCCAGTAGAGGATGAACATGCTCTCACACCATTAAACCATAACAATACACTAGCAAAAATAGTCAAGGCTGTTCCTAGTAGGGAATGGCTGCCACTTGAGGGAAGCTGGTCAGGCTATTCATGTGAGCTCTGTCAGCAAGAGCTGGAGCTTCACTCTTGCACATTTGGTGTCCCTAAAGTACAATGAATGCAGTGCATGTGACCCATTCATTTATAAAATAAACACAGCAAGCAAGGAAGAGGGAAAAGTACAGAAAAAATACTTGCTTACCACAAGTCCTAGCACAAGGGTACGCACTCTCTCCCCAATCTCTGGTGAAATGTCATTGCCAAACTGCTGTAAGGTTGTAAGAAATCTCTTCAGCTTGCTGAGCTGCCTAGCTCCACAAGCTGGCGGTAACTGCTGGTTAGCCAGAGAAGAGGAAGAGGAAGAGGATGGCCCATTGCTAAAGCCATTAGGAGGAGATGGAGCTCCATTTAATGCTGTTGGTGAATGGCTAGTGCCATTGGTTACTGAAAGAAAAAGAGACAGAGGATAAAATAAAGATTGGGGTTGGGGAAGAGATAGAGAGAAAAAGGAGACAGAGGGGAAAATCCATCAGCTTATGTTTTCTGCACTTGACCTCAGATTTAATTAAGTTGTACAATCAAAGATAATTAGCCTTTAGACAGAGTGACAGTCTGCAGTTTATATCTATTTCCCAGTAGCTGGTGCTGAATGTTGTAAGGATTGGAAATAACAGCAGCTGCCTCTCACACAGCCCCTTCAAAATGCTCCTGGACCTGAAAAGCACCATTTGAATACCAGCCTTTTGTCAGAGGATTTTAAAAAGAGAGAGAGGGAAATGGAGAGAGAAAAAGCATGAGTGTATGTATGATTGAAGATCAAAAAAAAATTGCTCTTTGGGGTAGGAAAAAACGTGCAGACATATTTCACGAAGCCTCAGTTTATCTCTGAATATTTTTACTTGTGTTTTGTACACACAACTGACAGCTGTGTTTATAAAACAGGACTTTCACGTTTTAACCTTACACCACCCAATGAGAAGGTTATTTTTTCCAATACAGATTCCCTAGCTGCTAACATATGGAGCACACAAAGTTGTCTGTGCAGGTACAAATGCTGCCAATGCTCTGTGTCCTGAAGCCTTGCAGCAAGGGCAGCAAGCTAGACTTCAGAAGACTTCTCAGAGATCATGAGCAAATCTCTGCTTTCACGTGCCAGCACCTTATCTCTGAAAAGGATAAGAAAACATTTCCCTCCTTTTGCAAAGTTGCTGTGAGAATAACTATCTGAAGTACTAAACATTCAAAATTTATGGCAACAAGATGCATGCAGACATACTGAAGACAACAGAGAGTTTTTGGCAGTGATTTCACTTTGATTCTTATCTGCACTCTAGAAGAGAGCAGAGAATCAAACTGAGGACATCCCCTTCCACTCAGGTTAGTTGGAACAGCAACACTCAAAACACATGCCATTGAGGTTGAGGCTGATTTGCTAAAATGACAGCAAACAGTAAGAAAAAGGATGGCTCCTCTGGAAATACAAGTGTACCAGTGCACTGGCAGGTGTGGGCACACAACATGTGACTCTACCCTGCAGCAGCTGCACTCAGTGGGCCACAGCCCTGGAGAAAATTTCTGATTTTTGGAGGGGGGGGATCACTCAGAACCCAGCAAAAAAAAAACATCAAAAGTCAGGAACTTGTGCAATCAAAAATGCATAGCAGTATCAGTTTAACTTGTTTCCTATTTAAAAGCACAACCAAGGCAAGCTAGCAACTTTAAATACTTTCAATGTTTCTCAATGACCAGCCTCTCTGAAGCCAAACATCCCATTCCCATCTCATTTTCTTCATGGATTGTCCTTATCTTTAACCAGGAAGTCCTTTTTTCAGGGTGGGCACCTACTACTAGATATAAATCACTACCTATTACTATATTTAAATCACTGCCACAAACCTTCAAAGGATTTTTTGTTGCCCTAGTCATTGCCTTCCAGAGGAATTACAGAAAAAGCTATGTGAATTGTTATCTAGCCTCTGCTTGTGCTTTCTCCTAGTTTTTGATTGCCTATTCTGGCTGCATGGGCTAGTGAGAACAAGGATTGGAAAATGCAGAAATAGGAAGAAGGTGGCCTCAGCAAGTTCAGCTCCCCGTGAGGCTCCAGGCCACGCTCCAAGTGCTGCACTGGGGTGAGGTATCTGAGTAAACAAATGCATCGTGATTGCAAGGAGCTCACATAGCCAAAAGTCATCCTACCAGGAACCTAGAAAATGAGGACTGGGGAGAATAGCAACATGTCCTGCTGATCTACCCTGACACCACCCAACAACTCTGTCACCCATAAGGGGCTGCTCTAGGCAGAGGGTGCTGGGGCTGATCAAGAAAGCAGAAGAGAGGAGCGTGGAGTTCATCGGCGAGGACAGAGACAGGGAGAAGAAAGGCTGGTAAAGATTCCTCCCACAACAAAAGAAATAATGAAATAGTCTCATGCCTTATAACATCTGAATTTGCCAATTGGCAAAGTTGTGCGTAATTTCTAAAACAAAACCACTTTGCTAATCCAAAAGAATTTAGCATTTAAAATTTCAAAATACAACATGTCAAGAATTTTTAATCATCTAAACCAAAGAAAACAAAATATATTCTAGACCAGAAAACAAATCAGATCTTTCTGGCCTACAGGCATTCTCACTGTAGTAATAATAAATGTAACAGACACTCTGATAAAAATTGCTATTTATTGTACAAGCTGGAACAGCTAAGGCCAAACTCCAAAATCTGACAGGGTAAAAAGCAATTAAAATCAGGGTTTTTTAGACTTTTAGTCTTCCAATAAGGAGCCCCAAAAATCAAGCTGTGGTTCACACACTTTCTGAAGTGCTGAACTCAATCAAATAAACAAACAACCAGAAACCTTGTGAGGACTGTAAGTGTGATTAAAGAATATTGTCATATTCCTTTTATGATTGCCAAAGATCATCCTGAACTGTTGTTATGGCATCACATTGGAAAGCTTAATGTGCAAGAATCTGATCCTGCAAAAACCTAGAAACAATTTAACTTCAGAATGAAGCAGCTCCGATGTGAAGCTCCATCCAGGGTGATTCAGGTGCTGGAGTTAAGCAAAACAGACAAATCTTTGCAGGATCAGGGTCACTGGGTTAAATGTGAGTTTATGTGAATAGCTGGCACAAACCCTCCTCACTGTTTAAGTTCAACATAAATTGTCAGGACAGGGTTCCCTGGGATAAGTAGTACAAAGGCCGCCAGCTGGCCTTCTGCATAGAGGTGAATTTTAAATAAGGCATTTAACAGAGAGAAGGGACTAAAACAGACTTAAGCAAGACAAATAGAAGATGCAGTCTTCATTCTGTTTAGGCATATGTATTCTACTGTTCTAAAAATGTTTTATTTAAAATGTGAAATGTAAACACATTCTCATGTTTATACTATTACAAGGCAGTATAAAAGAGACCAAAAAAAATTGCAGCTAAATCTTACTATGAGAAATGTGGATCATTTCATGGCTGTGAAAAGAATAGTCCAGACAACGTGCCAGATTCAAATCTCAGTTACGCTGATATGAATGCAGCATTCATCAAGACTAGGAGAGTTTCTTATATGTTTACATCAATAAGCTGAGACAAAGATGCAGCCTTAAGTGATTTAGAGACGTGGTAACAGACTAGAAATCTCTAGATAGAAATTATGAAAGGACTTTAATTTTGGTTTTATATCAATATTAACTAGACATTATATAGAACTGAAATCAGAATTTTTCACTGAAACATAAGCAAAAGGAAGATTAGTATTTTTTCATTATGAATTATCTCCACTTTAAAAACAAAAACCAAACAAACTCCCTGAGGTTTCTTTACTGAAGGGGAATGGGATTGTTTAAACAACATAATGGCATGTAAGAGAAGGTTTTCTGTCCTTCTCACAAGAGGGCTAACCTGATCATTAAGTACATGGGAAGCCAGTGCTCACTGTTCTTTGACACTGTGACCAAGTGGTCAGTGAAATAATAACACAACTCTGAGCTGAATGTCTTAATACTTTAAAGATGCATTAATCTGTTGTGAACTTTGTTTTGCTTAATGACTTTATCCCAACACAATCAAATGTTGCTCCTGCCACTTCATGCAAATTTCCCTTCACCTATTTTGGTTTCTGAAATACAGAATAGAAAGAAGATGGAAGAAAAGGAAGAAAATAAGACTAATTACACGTTGTGGGCGTAAATGAACTGGTTCTTGGAGCTCCTTGGGTAGTGGGAGGAGGTGGCATGGTTGGAGGCGTCAGCCTGGATTGTGTCTTCACATCCACAGGTGAGTCTGGCATTGTGGAATGCTTCTCAGTGCGATCTGCAACACACACCACAGGAACACACCGGTTTATTTCCCCGAGCACACCCTCTCTGACAAAAACTTAAAAGCTAATGCAAGAAGTGAGCCATTTCAGCATCTGCTGTGAAAGATTACACCTGATTATCTACTCCAGTGTGCTCTTCCCAAATTGCATCATCTAAACCTTACTTAAGGAGGTGCAACACAGATGGTTAAGACCTCATTTGTAGCAGTGCTGCATTATCTTTTGTTTTTATTTCTAGCCTGTGCAGATGCTACCTCCCAAGCACTCCTAGAACTGCAATAATGCCACCTCCCTTCAAAGCTCTCATGTTAGCCAGAAGGAAAAAACAGATGAAGGAACAGGAAAATAATAAATCCCTCTATGACATCTCTTCCAGAACTAAAACCTGAAGCTCTTTAGTACAGGTGAGATATTGGGTGGAATACTGGTTGAAACAAGCTCTCTTCATGTCTCTTCTCTGTATCACCTGCTCCCCTCTCCACTGCTTCTCTTTGTAATCTTATGTTAAACTTATGCTAAATACACACACCCCCGGGCCACTTTACCACAGTGCCCCTGGTTATTCTCATATTCACCAGAATACTAAACACAACATGCCAAAATGGTATGTCAATCATCTCATATACATACAATAATTTTCAAATAAGCATGGAAGTTTGCACCATCACATATTAAGAACAACTTTCAATGCTCAAAACCTGCAAGATAAGCAGGAACATACCTCCCCAAGAAAACAAAACAAACATAAGGCAAAACCAGGAAAAAACTTAACACTTCTCTTGCAACTGAAGATCTAAATATACAACACACATGATGTAAAAGCTACAGAAGTGCACTCTTTTTCTCAACATCTTTTTGAATGACACTACCTTAAGTTGGTTTTTTTAAACCATCCAAGCCCATATGTTTCATTTATTAAGAATGGGCAAAACACAGCAAAATATACCAGCTGAAGGCAAAATTAAGGCTTTCTCACTCATGCCAGGAGTTTAGCAAGCCATCTTGAAAAAAAGATGATCACAATGATGTTTAGCTTCTAATGGGAATAAGTGAAATTCTTCAGTTCCTTCTTTAGGTAGTTGGGGCTATTTACTTATACACAGCCCAGCAAAAGCCTTCCTAAGCTCCACAAAACTATTCTGTAAAGCAAGTAAGTGTCGCTGCTAATGGGCAAGCACGTAAGTCTGTGGTTTTAAGTCAAAGCGTGTCACATTCTATAAATTCTGTCGCTTCACTTTGTGACACAATTCCTTGCTCTTACTAACAACATACAAACTTCAATGAAATAATCGTATCTGAAATTTGCTCTGAGAGACAAGAACAGAAATTCAATGCAATGCACACATTTAACAAAGAACAGGTATGTTTAAAAGAGCCTCAAAACATTTAATTATCAGAAAACGTAAATACAAGAAAGTTTTAAAAAAATAAAAAAGGAAGGGGAGAGGGAAAAGGAAAAATCAAAACAGCCCCCACACCCCCAAAAATTAACAACACGTAACAGATACCAGTCTTTCTCTGTCTGAAATTGAAGAAACTGAGGAAGTAAGTAGTAAGTCCCAGAAGTGCAGCACGTCAGGTAGTGCAATTATAAAAGCCATCTTCAGCCTTTGTTGAAATGCCTATAGGCAGTGTTTCAGCTCTCAGGGAAAGGGAGTAATTTCATATAAAATTTAGAGACAAGTTTGGGGAAGATGAGCAGCGAAACACCCCCAGAATAGGATGAGGGGAATAGAGATACAATTTTATAGGATCTGTAGTGTTGATCTAAGGTTGGTAAACCTCAACTGTGGAGGGAAGAGTAACCACAATGATTACCTTAAAAATTAAGGTTGTTACACAGGTAAGTAAGGTATGATTTGCAAATCAAGCAACAGTAAATTATTACATGCTGGAAAACAAAAACGGGTTTCTAAACAAGTTCTGTACGTATTTCCTTTCTGTATCAGTATAACTAAAACAGTTAAATCTCTATCTTCAGTAAGCCATTAATTTACTATAAAGAACTATGAAAACTCATCTTGAAATGTTAATTGCTTCCTTAATAGCTGCATTCATCTTGCACTCACCTCAACCAACCTCAGCAACAAGGGAATAAATAGCTTTCAGCTCATGTTGCAACAGAGGGAAAGAGGCACAGCAGTGAGCCCAAGCCCTCCTAAATAAAGGCAAATATTTCTCCCATGCCAAGAAAGGAGAGAGAAAGGGAGGCTTGCCAGAGCTGGTGGGGAGATAACAGTGGGAACTGCTGGTCCATCTGGTTTTCATTCTGCTAACACTCACATTGAACTGTTAAGGAAGGCAGTCCAGGTACGCAGATTTGAAGCATGTGGGAGCGCAGACACAGGCACAGAGATGGAGGTGGGTGGAAGAAGGAGTGAGAGAAATCGAGCTCCTCTAACAGACTGCTGCTCGCTGCAAGCAGGCACAGCCTGTATCCTCCAATTCAGCTGGTGATAACTAAAGCGATCCTGAGCTGTAACCAACCGCACGGCTCCTGCTCCCTCCCTTCCCTTCACTGCATTTCAAAGTTCAGGTTTGATCAGAAACGCGCTCAGATTAGAGGGGGGAGACTTCCCCACAAAGCTGGCAATGTTTTGCTACTTAAACCGAACATGGTAGTGGGAAATAGTGTGTTGGTTTTGCCCTCGAATTTCAGGTTGCCACTCTAGCATGATCCCAATGGTTTTTGCTACCTCCAACAGTCTGCCACCCAGTCTGCAGACTGCTGAACTTATTCAGACCCCTGTACCTCTCATCTAAATCTAATAACATTAGGTTTGATTTTCCCAATTACCCTTCTTTGGACCTCTTAGACATAAACACAAACATGCTTTACATACCACTTACCTTTTTGTTACCTCTCCCTTTCCCTTGCAAACCCTACCTTCCCTAAACCCTGCTCTCCTACTGTATGATCACAGGCAGGCAAATTTCCCTCTGACTCTTGGTAAATTCCCTAGTCCTGCCTTCTTTAAGGAGATATTAAGGCTCTTTCCAAGCACACCCCAGAACATCTCTTGCCAGAGTACAAGATTATTTTGTCAGAACAGAGATTCTCCATGGGGGCAGGGGAAAAGGGCTTTTGAAGAAGTACAATGCAAAATACAAAGCTTTTCCACATGCTTGGAAGACACCATCACACCACCCAGGAGAACAGCCTTTACAACTTTCTATTCCACCCTCTTTAATAACAAAACCCCTGTGGGAGCCATTCTGCTCTTACTGCTACTGTTTTACCTGTTCCTTACCTTTTCCTACATCTCCCTGAACTCTGAGGGAGTGATGGGACTGGGAGCACCTGTCTACAGCACCCACCACTGTCCCACCACCCACAGCACCAGAGAACCTCAGCAGCTCTAAGACAGATCACTCAGGGGATGAAGTGGTGAACCACAAATCAGAGATGCCACTGATAAAAGCCTTAACAGTTCTGGGGATCTGATCTTCCTAAAGTTTTTGGTATCTGACACTTAGCCTGTAACTCCAGCTTCTACAAATCATTATTTATTTTTTAATTAATAAAAACAATAAGCCTAACAAGCAACACTTTTTACTGTAATGGTTGACAAATAGCCTGATGATATGAAAGCCAAAGACATAATAGTATTTAAGTCATATTCACAAGCCAATTTCCTTCAAGACACGGTATTTCACGAGGCTTTTAATGTATGAACATTTTTCATACAAACTCTCAGTGGATATTCTGCTATTCATACATTCAGAGGTAATGAGGATTTGGTAGGGGAAGAAAGAATCCCACAAGAGGAAAAACTATGATTTTAACATATCAAAAACTGCCTGGGTGAGATTTCACATACATGTGCTCCTGTTTTACAATACAGAGACGTATACATTGAATTTCACCTGAAATTCAGAAGAACTTTCACCATGTCTTAAAATAGCTTAATTTCTTGAATTCAAAAACATGTTTATGCTCTTGAGTCAAACCAAACTCCCCACTTGCAAAGCTAGTTCTGGCTATCTTTTTCTTCAGATGGACCTTGACATTCAAACAATAATCCTGAATTAGGAAGGACACACCAGAAAGTTTCATATAGGCAGCATCCCACAGCATCCCATTTAAAACCATAGCCTGTATATACAGAGAGAGTAAATTCTTTCAGGTGCAAGAATTTCTTCCACTGAATCCCTTTAAACAATGACAGACCTGTGCTCCTTAGCCCAGTTCAGATCAAATGGGACTGAAACCAGAGGTCCTCCAAACTGGAAGGAAAAGGAGACATCTGCATCTCATTCTGTAGTGTTCACTGCAATCAGTTCAGGATGGAGAAAGATGGTGAAATAATGGTCTAGTCCTAATCCATACACACAACCCTCTGGAGCAGCAAGAGACTTAGAATAAATTCAGAAAACATGTTTCAAGTATGCAGAGATCTATTGCATTTGCTTTGGATTATATTTTTTATTTAAAAACAAACCCAAGCAAAACGTTTTGAAATACACATTCTTGAATCTCCTTTACAGCATAGAGTGAAGAACTGTGATTTAACCACAGAAGTATTTTGCTTCATTTAAAATTAAAGAATGTTGTAAAACCAACTTTAAATTATGATATTTCTTCTGGAACTATACTGTTCTTGTTCATTCAGTTTTTTATGAGAGACGGTTTTTTATCACTATATTTAGCTGTTAGGTGAACACTGATATTTACTGTAAGCACAGCCAGCTTCTGAACCAAACAAGGAAGAGACAAAGCATTCAGGAGCTGGGGCAGAGATGTGCCTGCATTCAAACTGATTTACTTTACTTCCTGTCCTCAACAAGATTTAGTCCATTTTTAAAACAAGGCGGTCTTTCATAAATGGCAACATTTCGGCTCACATGGCACACTTCCAAGTCTAACGCATCAAGGAAAGCTGATGTATGGAACAAAATATGGAATATATAAATACTTTACTGATACCATTTCAATAGCCAATTCAATGTCAAGCATTTCTAGGAGCGGTGTGTTTTCAATTTCCTTTTTTAA